AGTCCACCCTTGGAACCCTTTGGGTTTTGGGTCACAACCCTCTCTTTATGGACCTCTGCACGTCTGGACAGGTAGTATCACCCCTCCATTAGCTATCAATCACCTCTGCTTCCTTAAATCTGTATAGTGTGTGTGAATGTTTAATTATTGTTTGTGTGCTTGCGTACTGTTTGCTTGTGACGAATCTACAGTAAAGGAATCATTTTATATTGAAACTAGCCTCCGTGTCTATTTCTGGTGTTTCTGGAAGAAGCGGGACCCCTGTATATAAAGGTGTTTGTTCCCTTATTGTCTATTGATATTTTATAATATCTCATATTCCCCAATATTGATACTAACTCAGAGCAATTTGGCTAATGGGCAAAGAATGGTTTGACAGCCATTGGTCCAACTTAGTAGCAAGCCAGCTGCAAAGGAGCCAAGCAGGACAAGTGTCTTTGTCAGGAGAGACAGCTGTTTTGGCAGTTTATTCTGTCAGGGAAGAGTGGCCAGGCTGGCAGTGGGTGGGAGAGAGGAGCGGACCCAGCACCCAGCCAATGGCACGTGAGTACTCTTGAGTGGTGGTTGACAGGCCAATGGCTGATGGGAGCACACAGCACAGTCAATGGGAAAGCCAGCAAGTGTGCTTGGCTTTTATATATTTAGGATATATCAAAGTTTCACCAGGTTCTCCCTGGCTCCCAGCAGAGGATGAGGGTGGGTAGGGTTGCCAGATGCAGGTTGGGAAACTCCTGGAGATTTGGGGATGGAGCCCGGGGAGGACAGGGACCCCAGTGGGGTACAATGCCATAGACTCCATCCTCCAAAGCATCTAGTTTTTCCAGGGGAACTATCTCTGTAGTCTGGAGATGAGTTGTAACTCCGGGAGTTTCCCACCTGGAGTCCCACCTGGAGGTTCGTATCCCTAACATCCTAGACTCATGGGGGGAATCCCATCTCCCCCCCCCTTGGCTGAGCCTGGCATGGCTCCAGGCTTCATCACCCATCTTTGAGCCCAGCTGCAGTGGTGGCAGTGTCTGGGTGCCATGGCCAGGCCCAGAATTGCTCCCAGAGCTTGTTGTTGTCACTGCTGGGCCCAGAGCCAAACTGAGAACTCAGCTTAGTGAGTCATCTGACTGCTCTGAGAAATGCTCAGGGAACCATTGGCCAGAGGACCCCAATGTGGTGCTTGTGGGCACCATGGCACCCACCAACACCTTTCGTGGTGCCTGCCAAGTGTTTGTAGAAAGTGGGAAGGGCCAGGTGGGCTTTTTTGAGTTTTTGATGTTTATGGTATAAAGGTATGTAATGTACTTTAGCTGTGCAAACGGCAGAATGATCTTTTAAAAACCCAACAGGACTTGCTTCTGTCCAAAAGCAATAGGTCAGCATGGTTAAAATGCCTAATGCACCTAACTGGATGTTCTACTGAAATCATCAGATTTTTCCAATTTGAATATATTTTAATTATTCAAGTGGGAGTTAATAATAACATCAAATTTTGATAACTTTTCTAAAATAATTGCTATCAAAATCTGGCCAGAATCTCTCTTACCATACACATGTGCAAGAAGCTCTTTACCAGCCTTTCTGCACAACTGTTACAAGAAATAGTGGAGGCTGCTCTGACCGGGATAGCCTCGGCAAGCCCAGTCTCATCAGATCTCAGAAGCTAAGCAGGGGTGACCCTGGCAAGTACTGGATGGGAGACTTCCAAGGAATACCAAGGCCAGACAATAGTAAACTACTTCTCTGAAATGTCCAAGCCCGACTAGGGGTTGCCAGAAGTCAACCATGACTCCCAGGCACACACACACAAAATAAAGGTAAAGGTAAAGGTTTCCCTTGCTCGAAAGCCAGTCGAATCTGACTCTAGGGGGCGGTGCTCATCTCCGTTTCCAAGCCAAAGAGCCAGCACTGTCCGAAGACGTTTCTGTGGTCATGTGGCCAGCATGACTAAATGCTGAAGTGCATGGAATGCTGTTACCTTCCTACCAAAGCAGTACCTATTTATCTACTTGCAATTTCTTGCTTTTGAACTGCTAGGTTGTCAGGAGCTGGGGCCAGAGATGGGAGCTCACTCCGTCATGTGGCACTCGGGTCTTGAACTGCTGAGCTACCAACCTTCCAGTCTGCAGCTTCAGCATGTTAACCCCTGAGCCGCACACAAAATATTCACCAAAAAAAGAGAGAAAGAAATAGTGAAGGTTGAAAATGTCTACACTCATGATAGAAGTGGAGAAGAAGCCAGGAAAAGTATTTCCCCCACTTGTCCTTTTGCATGTGTGTTAGATGCCTGTAAAATGCAGACAAATACTGCCTGATGAGGGTTTCTTAGCTAGCTCAATATGCATTCTTATTTTGCATGTATGCAAGAAAATATTTGTATACAATATGTTAATTTTAAAAGGCATCCTATTAAATAGAACTCCTGTCTGAAATGCTGAAGAGCTACAATCAGAGTTATAACTTGATAGTATCCTCATTCCTTGACATCTTGTGGTTGGCTCCACTTCTGTAGCTGCCATTTTGTGGGTGGCTCCACCACCCTCTGATGGAATTCCAAATGTGCTTGCCAGCTCAAAAATGTTGGGGACCACTGTATTAGGTTGTAATGGGGGGGAGGGAATGGATCTAATGTATAGAATGATGATCTTTCTGCTAGTCCATATTGACTCTTTTGATGAACTGTTGTCCGTATCATTGAATACATACCTAGACCACTGGGTAACCCATGTTGAGGGCAATTAGAAAAGTCTATGAAACTCAACAGGGGACAGACAATATGCAAGCATGGTGCATCGTTCAGGTAAATGGTTCAAAATTTGCAAGTCCAATCAGGGTCCATTGTAGAAATCATAAATTAATTCCACTCAGGCTAGGTTCTGTACATTGCTACTTATACATTTATTGAAATTGTTGCTCTTTTTAAAAAATGGTTGTTGCCTGTTTGCTGCTATGCATTTATAAATAAATCCTCTTTACAAGAGGGAAACAGTTTAATTAAACCACAATGACACTAATAAAATTTTAGCAAACATGCTCTGAGCTAAATAAGACACTATCAATATTGAATCATATTACAACAGCCATCTGGGATGGTTAAGTGGTAGGTATATGTTCTGGAGAGCTCTATTGGGAATTTTAATCTCTTTAGCTCCTTGGCATCTGGTTCTATTTGAAGGCTTTATTTCTTAACTGGAGCTGTAAAAACAAACCAACCAATGTTTCCTTCATATTTTAAAGATTGTCCTGAACATGAAAGTCACTCAGGATTGAATAACTGGTAATCTCAGGTTGCTCCACCTGTGGGTGGAAGCATTTGCAACTAGATTGTCTGGTTTAAGTGAAACATTAATGAGGGAAGGATGGAAAATGAATTTCATTGCCATACATAGGACAGGAGTCACTCAGCATTGACACCCTATTTCTGTACTCAGTCTGTTGGCCAGCTGGTAAGTGCTGATGCGAAGGTAACTGATCTCAGGGAAAACATGGGTCCATAATGTCCATAAAGGAACATCACTGGGTGAAACTTTAAAAATAGACGCAACCAATGTGCTGCACCCAGAGCTGTCCTGAGAGCGGCCCTGCTCTTGTGACAGTGTTGACATAAAGAAGAGTGATGCAGTTTTTAAGTCACCCTCAGAAGAAATGCTCCCATTACAATTACCTTACGAAGTAGCAAGCAGATACTCTTTCAACTCGAGCAGCCAGTTGTTTCCTGACCTGTTTAGTAGTTAGCATTATATGCCATAGGAATGAGTGACATGACATGGGATGCCTTTTTGTTTCTTAGCAAGCTAAAACACCATACAGGTCCATTACGGAACTGGAACAGTTCAAGGCTTTTCTCTTTAAAAAAGCAACATATATAATACCTTGCATGTTTCCTTCTGGTTATTCACTGCTGATGAAAACAGACTAAGACAAGTCACAAGGAGATCAATAAAGCAACCACTGTTATTTGCTTTCTGATTACTGTACACACACGCAAATGGGGGACACGCAAACACTTGCCAGGGGTGTAGAAGCCACCTTATTTTGTACTTAAAGCATCATTGACAGATGCTAGTTCAACATCTACTCACCCCTTGTTTTGACACTCCTATCTAAATAGTCTTGACCTGGGTAGCCCAGGCTAGCCTGATCTCTTCAGATTTCAGAAGCTAAGAAGAAGAAGAAGAAGAGATTGGATTTATACCCCGCCCTTCACTTGGAGTCTCAGAGCGGCTTACAAACTCCTTTCCCTCCCCCTCCCCACAGCAGACACCCTGTGAGGTGGGCGGGGCTGAGGGAACTCTGACACAAACTGCTCTTTTTCGAGGACAGCTGTGCCAGAGCTTGCGACTGACCCAAGGTCACATCAGCAGGTGCAAGTGGAGGAGTGGGGAATCAAACCCGGTTCTCCCAGATTAGAGTCCACGCACTTAACCACTACACCAAGCAGGGCCAGCCATGGTTATTATTTGGATGGGAGACCACCAAGGAGGTTCAGGGTTGCTATACAGAGGTAGGCAATGGCAAACCACCTCTGAGTGTCTTCTGCCATGAAAACCCTAGAGGGACACCATGTCAGCTGTGACTAGATGGAAAAAACAGAACACCTCCCCCCCAACCTGAATAGGTCTTGTTGAAAGGAAATTTATCACACAACAAAACTTGGATAGCATCCTCTGACAGGTGATCCATCATCTCTTGTGAACAAGGTCTGAACAATCAAATATCTTTCTGTTGTGCACACTGTTGGGAACACTGAAGGATGAATAAGGGAGAATTCAGCTGTTTTATCTACCAGCTGAGTCCAGAGATAAAGTGAAAAACAAGCCAATCCACCCCAGCCCTGCAATGTATTTGTAAACTTAGCAAATTCTGCCATTTTGTAATTGATGAGAGAGAGGACTCATGGTTGTTGGCAGATCCACTGTCTTTTGTTCTCGTTGTACTCCTATCACTCTTTTTGCTATGCTGCTTCATCCTCCCTCCCTCAATGCCCTTCTCAGCCTTCTCATCTTACTCACCAACTGTGTAACAGGAACCCTTCAGCTGCTTTGGTGTATGAGGGATGAACATGTCCTTCTGAGACCCCTATGTGCAGATACTTGATGCTGATAGAAGAGATGGGAGAAGTATATTAACTTTCTAGTTTTGGTGGATTATTGGGATGCTCATTCAAAAGTCCCACCCCCCTGATTTTACCTCTCTCTTCAGTTTGTTTTCCAGGGCCCTCCCTGGAGCTCTCTCAGGTGCGATCATTGGCAAAGGGAAAGCACTGTCTGGTTGAAAATTCTAAAGCCAATGTGAGGTAGACATGAAGGTCCCGGTCACATGGAGGGTTTTGGCCCAGGAGAGGGACGGATCGGGGCCTCAGCAAATGGGCGCGATCTCACTGCAACATCTGGGAAGCGGTGCGCACCCGTCCCCGATCCGTCCCTAACCCCAGAAACCCCGCAGCAAAAAAGAACCACCGACAGAGGTGGTCTTACCTGAACGGCCGTGGCAAGTGCGGCCGTGGGGTCGCCGGCGCATCCTTCTGCCGGCGCATCCCGGCTCCTGGTCAAACTGCACATGCGGACGCATGCACAGCCGGCTGCCTTGGTCTCCCGACCGTGGCTTCCTCCCCGGCATCTAATCGTGCCGGGGAGCAATGGAGCCGCGGCTCAGGGGATCTGTGTGATCCCGCCATGACGTGTCTATTTTGGTGCGGCTTCCAAAAGCCGCACTTTGGCCGCACATTTCCCCCCTCGTGTGGCAGGGGCCAATGATGCATCCCTCATCATCTCTGTTCAGCTCCATCTTGTGCCAGATAGTCAGCAGTCATGTTGCAGGTTATCTTCCTCATGGGCTCCTTAACAGCTCACTAATGATCTTTGTAAATTAGTACCACCATGTTTCGCATTGACATCTATCGATGTCAATAGAACCCCATCTTGAACTGATAAGAGTTTAATATCTAGAGCACCAGCACTTTGTTTGTGATGGATTGTTTTATTCTGTTTTTTAGTTTTTAAATCATGGCATATGCCTCTTCTGTTAGCCGCTCTGAGCCCGTTTGGGGAGGGCATGATATGAATTTAATAAATAAATAGATGTTTTAATAACCTTGCAATTCCTGAAGTGCTAGAGGAGAATTTCTAGTGTGAACACCCAAACTAGTTTTGCCAGCATCCTAGCAGCTATCATACAAAAAAGCCCTATTTTAAAACATTAATTAATTGAACCCAACCTCATTAACTCTGCAGAATGATTCAACCTTTCAAGAACATGAAAATTTAGCCTTAACATCTTAATGCTGCAGTGCTTGGGACAACCTTAACAGAAGTCTGTAGAGAGGAGACATTCAGCTTAGGAGATTTCTTCCTTAGCCAGTGCCAAGATTCCTGTTCACTCTTTGGTTACAGGGAAAGTGGCTGAAATCCAAGGATATACATTCCTCTTCACATGTGCTTTTGGGAAAGACTGATCCCTCCTGGGATTTCTACTAATGCTGAAAACATGGTTGAGTGCAACTCTGGAAAGCTGCAAATCCCACAGGGAATGTTTCTGGAAATGCCTCAGCTAAATCAGAGGCAGGCCAAAGCCTAGATGATGTAGACAAAGTTTTAGAGCTACACACACCTCCACATTAAATGCCATAATTCCTCAACTTCTTTTTAATTTTTTTTTTATTTTTACAAAAAAAAAAAAGTACAATACATTACTACAATTATACACATGATATAGATAATCATCTTAGGCTGCAATCATATGCATAATTAGAACCGACATAGGTGCGAATGCTGGGTGGATTTAAAGGGCTTGATGAGACAACATCTGGGAAGTGCCCTGCAGCTGTCAGCAACCCATTCTGCTCCACCGTAGAAGTGGAGTTAAAAGACACCTGGGAAAATCTGGTAGTAAACGGGTAGTGACAGGCCACAGATGGACTTTCCTGTGTCTGATTGCTCCAGTGCACTCTCATGGCGTTGGGATGGTCTGATCAGGCCATCCCGACTCTGTGCCGTTGTTTCCCCCCACCTTCTCAGTATACACATCATCACAAACTCCATAGGGAGCCTTCAGTGCGGAGATGCAATTCATTGATTCCTTGTTTAAGCACATCGGAAACAAATGGCAAAAAAAAACAAAACTTGACTCACCCACGGTTGCGTCTGATCACACAGTGGCAGGCTGTGCCAGCAGCTTCCAAGGACTGTGTGACCACGTAACTGTGGGTCAGCTTCCTCTGGAGGAAATAGCCTTGCTTCCCCCCCCCCATTTTTTCTGCCGCGTGTGATTTCAACTGTACATAAATATAGACACAGGCATAGGCATGAACACAGACAATCATTTGTAGTCAGCTACTTTATCTACAGTATCTATTTCCTACATAACTATGTTACTATACTGATCTATTTGTTACAGTTGTCAATCAAAACTGACTTGGTTGTATAAAATTTATTTGTACATACACTAAATTTTCACTCCTGTTATCTTTTTTCTATCTTTTCTTCATTGCTTCATATCTAACATTTCATTATTACAAACATGTGTTGTCTGACTCTCTTAATCATTCTCCACTTTTAACAGTTTAGTTCTAATTTCCAGCTATATATTCAAAAAGTACATTCCATTTTTCTTAAAATACTGAATTCAATCTATTATGTAAACAAGATGTTAGTTTTGCCATTGCTGCATACTCAATTAATTTGTTTTTCCATTCCATCAGTACTGGGCATTTTTCTGCCTTCTATTTAGATGCAAATGTCACCCTTGCCGCTGTTACCACATCTTTAAATAGTTCACTTTTTAAAGCAATGGCGAACCTAAACAGCATGATAAAAAGTAGAGACATCACCCTGCCAACAAATGTCCGCATGGTCAAAGCAATGGTATTCCCAGTAGTCATGTATGGCTGCGAGAGTTGGACTATAAGGAAGGCCGAGCACCGAAGAATAGATTCTTTTGAACTATGGTGCTACAGAAGAATCTTGAGAGTCCCTTGGACTGCAAGAAGATCAAATCAGTCAATCCTAAAAGAAATCAACCCTGACTGTTCCCTGGAAGGCCAGATAATGAAATTGAAGCTCAAATACTTTGGCCACCAAATGAGAAAGGAGCACTCACTGGAGAAGACCCTGATGCTGGGAAAGATTGAAGGTCAAAGAAGACAGGGACGGCAAAGGATGAGATGGTTAGACAGTGTCATAGATGCAACGAACATGAAATTGAGTGAACTTCAGAGGACGGCAGAAGACCGGAAGGCCTGGCATGATCTCGTCCATGGGGTCGCGAAGAGTCGGACTCGACTGTGCGACTGAACAACAACAAAATAGTTCACTATGTGTTCTTGTAATATTGCTTAGTAAAATATTAAGTTGGATTTTTGGGGGTCCATCGCAAACTTGAATTTTAGTATCTTTTGTATCTCTTTATGGATCTTTATCCAGTATTGTCTTGCTTTCTCACATGTCCACCACATGTGATAAAATGTTGCATCTGTACACTGACATTTCCAACATTTTCTATTATAACTTTTACTGGTTTTTGCAATTTCTTTGGGTGTAATGTACCATCTAAAAACATTTTATACCAATTCTTCCTTAATATTTGGGACTTGGTAAATTTAATTTTTTTAGTCCATAAGTTTTCCCACTGGCTCATAGAAATATCCATTCAAAAAAATTTCATACATTTAATCATTCAGTCTTTCACTTGCTCTGTTTCTGTTACATATTACAACTAGGAATAAGGCCCGTTGTGGAAATCAATATAACGAAATCTAGAAACAGGCTCTGAGAGAGAGCCAAGGCCTTGGGCACTCAAACATCAATGTGCTGTGGCAACCTCAGCAGGTTATAATGACACAGAGCCCACCATTTTCTGCAGAGGAACTGATCTCTGCTACCTGAAGAGCAGTTGTAATTTTGAGTGATCTCCAGCCCTCACCTGGAGATTGGCAACAATTGTCACCCAGGAGGAAATGGCTGGTCTGGAGGGTGGAGTCTATGGCATTGTACCTGTCTGAGGCCCCACTCCACCTCAAACTTCACCCTCTCCAGGCTCCACCCCTCAAATCTCCATGAATTTCCCAACCCGAAGTTGGCAACTCTATCTCCTTCCCAGCCAAGCATCAACCTGCCATTATCTGCCCCTCTGATTTCAGCCTTGCATCTCCTCCCCCTCCCTTCTGGAGATCAGTTGTAATTCTGAGTGATTTCCACCCTTCTCCTGAGATTGGGAACAGTGGTTCCCCAGAAGGGAATGGCTGGTTGGGAGGGTCGAGTCTATGACATTGTACCAGCCTGAGGTTCCACCCCTCCTCAAACCTCACCCTCTCCAGGTTCCATCCCTCAAATCTCCAGGAATTTCCCACCTGGAGTTGGCAATCCTATCTTCTTCCCAGCCAATCATCAACTGACCTTTATTTTCCCCTCTCTCGTCAACTTTCCATTTCCCCACACACACATACCTGCAGCCTCTCCCATGCTCTGAAGCCCTGACTGCCAGAGTCCACCATTTTCTGTGCTCTGAAGCTCTGACTGCCACAGAGTCCACCATTTTCTCCAGGGCAATTGATCTCCGCCATCCGGACATCAGTTGTACTTCTGAGTGATCTCCAGCCCTCACCTGGAGAAAGGCAACAATGGCTTTCCAGGAGGAAAAGTAGTCTTTCTTTGCAATGGGAACCCCCTCTCTTTGGTATTGTGCAGAACAGGGAAGACTATGTGGTCAGAGGACAACACAGAGTATTAGCCCAAATTAAAGAATTTATTTAACTATTTACACAATTATGGAGCACACATACACTAAATAAATAAGGCACAACTGTAGGAGTAAGGGCATAAATCAACAGGGATTAAACGCAATCATCTTTCCCTGCACACAACACTCTAGCTCCGGAGTTTGTGGGCTCAGGATAGGACCTCTCCTTGGACTGGCTCTGTGCTTCAGCCTCTCTCTCTCTCTCTCGCCCAAGAGAGCAGGGGAACTTTCATTCATTCCCCAGTCCAGCTGACTGTGGAGTGGCTGAATCTCTGCTGCCTCCCAGGGTCCCCCCATGTCTCTGGCTTGTGGCCTAGCAGGAGTATGTGGATGCTGCCCCGCCCCAAGGTCCCTCTTC